GGAAGAAAAGGATGATGGTTGAGACATTCGTACGCTGCTTGTGCTGCTGCTGAGGTAGCTCCTAACTTGTGATTTAGTAATGAAATAATGATGTGTAATAACTGAGAATGGTCTCTCCTTCTCGAGAAAGGAGATTTATGACTAGAAGAAAGAAAGGAAAGATGTCTTGCTTTCTATTTGCTGGATTCTGTCCATATTTAGGTGGCTTGAATACAGGAGGCAACTGTTGCTGCAAATGCACAACTCTTCTAGTTTCCTCCTACCATCATTTCCATCTGTGCCAGTAGCAACTCTGTATAAATCCTACAATACTTATGCATACAGAGAACTGAAATGGTCCTAGGAAGCTTCTCTAGGAAGAACAGCAGGAAAAGCTTCAAGCAAACGTGCCAAATACTTTTTCTTGTTTTTTCTTTTTTTTATTTCATGAAACTAGACTCCCTGTCAGTTCTGCCACAATGACTTTTTTTTTCCTTTGAAAGAGATGCATAAACATTTTTAACTGTGCTGCTGAGTTAACTGGTAAAGATGAATGCTGCAGAATTTGTAATGCTAGTGTCACTGGAGAAAAGTCACTACATCACAGGCTTTTTAAATACAGTTTGCAAGTACAAATTCAGTTCTGCAGTTTTTAAGCTGCTTCAAAATGCAAACCTGGATACACAGATTCAAGCTCGTACCTGCTGACTTGTACCAGCAATATGAGACAAGATGTGTCTTATCTACTTGGTGACAAAGCGCTTTTTTTTTTTTAAGTGACTAAATAGTCTGATACTTTTGAAATTCTTGGCACTGTGGAAAAATTATTGCACTTATTTAAGGGTTTGAATATGCAGTTAAGCATCTAATTTTAAACCTGCACACTCAATTGGACTTTGCTGCAAAGGTATTTCTTTTTTATGGTATCTGCCAGCTGCTGAAGTATGTGTTAGTAAATTTAAGATATTAATGCATTCTAGTAATGGAGGTACCTGATCAAACAGCAGCTAAATGATCACAAAATAGATATCCAAGGTAAAATCAGAGACTGCAGTAAACAAGGGAAAACTGCTTACCTTTTATCATTTACTGATGAGTGAACTCCCTGTCTCTCATCTGACTTGAAACACTGGACCAGTTTAGTCTAATGACCCAGCATCCCCTTTCATCAGCTACCACATGCATGTGTTATTTTCTTCGGTCTTGATGCTTTTTCCTTCCTTTCTCAGAGTTGTTTTTGACAGGATGGTAGTATGCTTCTGTAACTCTAAATAAGCATATTCTCACTTGCTCATAAATTAAAATCAAACACTTAGCTATTACTAATATATTCTAGCATACCTGATTATAAGGAGATACTGGCCTTTCCCAGTTACTGAATGGAGCTTTCTCCCTTGTCTTTCAGCTGATCTGAAGCAGTGAAGGTAGCTGTGTACTGTCTGTGCATGCTGAAATACTGTGGGCACTCCTTTGCCGTTTCTGGTCTTTGCTTTACTGTATCGCATACCTATTGCTCACTTGCCAGATTCTATACACTAGATGCTCATTGAGATGGCATTTGAATGTAGTCCAGTTATTCCTGGTGGGGAGATTTGTTATCAAATCAGCAAGAAAAGTGGCATTCTCAGCTCCAGCAGATGCACAAGTGTCATCCAGTTTGCACTGATCTGTTGAACAGCAAATGTGTAACGTAAGGGAGAGTCAGAGTATTACAAGACAGGCTTTTAACACCGCAGAAGCTATTTCAGTATTTAACATGCTGAGAAGACAAGCTAATCACAAAAGACTTGTCTAGATGTCTATGTTCCTTTGACTCCTTAGGTATTTTGTAGATGCTGACGGCCAGTGTGAACTTTAAATCAATTTATTGCATATGTTTACATATGCAATAAAACCATTTGCCATATCATTTAACTACACACAGAGTGAATTGTTGACCATGAGCTGATCTGACCTTTTCAAGTCTAATCAAGAAATCTGAAATATTATTTCAGCCTGTCAGCTCCAGTAATATGCAGTAAGAGTATCTGGATCTAACTGAAAATGTCAGACGCGCTCTAATATGCAACCCATCAAAGTTACGATGCGTATGAACCAAGAACTGCTTAAGAATATAAATCTGTAACATCCGTGGTGCATCTCAATTGCTTAGATAAATTGTTCTGCATTGATATGGGCTAGCTAAAAACACACATTAAAAGCAATTCTTTAGGATACATGAGATGTACAGCCACTTAAATGTTAAAATGATCCTGAAAGAAGGGTGATAACACCAGGTTAGAATATTACTGGAAAAAAGTGAGCAGTGAGAATACCAGTGCTCTAGTTAATATCCTGCTAGCTTTGTTGTGTGGTAATGTAAGATTAGTGGTCTCATGTAACCTCAAAATTTTCCTTTTTAATTTTAATAATTTGCTACTTGTGAAGTTTTTACTCTTTCCAGAAATAATCCATTATACAAGCTGAGGTGTCCTTATCAATCTTATTTGTGTTGAATTTAGTATTAAGCATTTTTCATACTCCTGTGCTTTTTATGAAAGTCTGCTTTTATTTTTAAAAGCTTTCTAGAAACCAACACTTTTGTCAGTAGGTTATGGTGTTCAATGATGTTTAATTTCTTTGTTTTCTTTGTCTCATGTGCAAAGTTTCTGTTCTTGGTATTTTACTAGACAGTCAGATCTAGGACAAATCTGTCTTTAGTAATTATTTATCAAGCATGAGACCAATTATTCATTGGTATAATTTCTGGGTGATGAATTTAAAGTTGGATTAAACTAGTCGGGCACAATGAAAAGCAACTTTGTATCCTAACAAAATGGTATTTTGTTACCTAAATAGTCTAACAAGATTGTTTAATCTTAAAGCAGTTGTTACACTAAAATCGAATTGTTTTTTAATCTAATCAGGGGTAGTTCGTGTAATTTGAGACATTATTAACTGAATTGCTACTATTAGTAAAATGTTGTTGGAACTAGAAATGAACTATGGGAAGCATTGCTGAACTGATAACTTTGCACTAAAGAATAGCGTGCGTTTTAAACTACAGAGTTAATGCTATTTGAACTATTCTCGTGAGGCAATGCTGCCCTCCCCTGGTGTGCTGTGGAAAGTAGGAATTTTTCTCCCAGTCCAGGCAAGTTTTAGGGCTTCCTATAAAAGAGGAACTGCTGAGTTGGTGAAAACGGTGAAAAAATGCTCTTAAAAAGACCGTTATGTGCCTTCTATATTACGAGACACACACACACACAGAGAAGTGGAACAGACATTTGTGCACTGCTTTATGTATGCATGGTGCAGATGTGGATGAACGTACAAATAATATACCGGAATATACTGTGAACGCACAAGACAACAAATTGCGGGCAGAATTATGTTTGGGTGGCAATTTGGAAGATGAATTGAAGACAAAATAAACAGATACCAGCTAACTTCTGAAAGTTAGCAGGACCAGTTACAATAAACTTTTGTTTAACAGTATAGTTTTGTCTTGTATATAACATTTAGAGATTATCATTAATGATTACATGTTCAGTTCTGCAATAGAAAAGTAAATGGGACCATGACCAACAACTTGCATGGGAATGGGATTAGCTTTTGTGCAAATGAAGCTATAGCAAAACCATCTTCTGTCAAGGACTATTGATTACAAAGATACCACTGTAGTCTCAGGAAGTCCCACCACTGCACATTCCTGGGAGCTGAGGAAGGTAGTCCAAGAAAATATTACTATTGTATGGGCTATTCTTAATATTTTTCTTCAGACATCTGTTATTAGCCACTGCTGGAGACAGAATATTGGGGTAGAAGGTTCATTAGTCTGTCCTGCTATGGCTGTTGTGTGTTAAATAAGTGTGTTGCTATTTGCTTTAATTTTGTCTTCCTTTCATTTCTCATTGCTAGGCAGTTTTACCATAGTATGAATAGCAGAAAGAGATAACCCTTGTTTCAAAGATAAGAATTTTAGCTCCCAAATCTGACTCCAGTAAAGTGTGGGGGTTTGGGTTTGTTTGGTTTTTTTTTTTTTAAGGTATCAAATATGCCTTTCTTTTTATAATTAAGATTTTTCTAATTGCTGGACAACTTGCAAAACACACAACTTTTCTTCCTGTGGCACATGGCTTGGCTTCTGTTTTGTTTGCTCCTCATCCCCCTTAATGCATTGGAGATCACCTACCACTAGAGAAAACTGGAGAGAGTATGTTAAACTTTCTGGTTCATGCGTTTCTGCATGTCTTAAATGCAAACAGATTGCCAGATTCAGGATCAGGAGGAAGGTTGTTTTTTTTTTACCCCGTACCAGTTGGCTTGAGGACTTTGCTTGAGTGTGAGTTCTTGTCTACTACTTGGAATCAGGTCACTTGGGAGGTATTTTAAGAACTGTGCAATATAATGACATTCCCAACCTGACCTGTTGTGGTCCAGTAGCATCCTACAGCAGTGGTGGCTGTTGATATTTTACTACTACCTTTTATAGTAAGGTCTTAGGACTTTTATAATAAGGTCCTAGGAGTTGTTCTGTGTCTATGGTGCCTGCCAGTCCACAGAGCAGGTGTTTTGTGGACCGTTTTGAACTAGACCCCAACTACTCCATTACCTGTGATTGTGGCAGATAGGACCTGAAGATCCCAGTGGTCCTTCGTGGGCTTCTGTTTCTAAAGTGACTTCACTGACTGCAAAATAATAGCATTTACCTTCATGTATGTAAGCTTGTAGGCTATAATAAGCAATCCTTTTGAGCTAGCTGTAAAACCACTGGAAGTACAGCTCCATAATAGTTAAAGATGAACTAAATCAACGCCAAGATGCCTTGTTCTGCTTTTCCCTTTGTGACATCCTGCCGCAGCAAAACCAGTTTTATATGTTCTACTGTTTTGTTAGATTAGTATTCTGTTAGTGTAGCATCCCAACTGAGTGCATCAAATGGTTATGTGAATGGCAGTGGTGTTGTTCCTTGACCTAGAACAAATGTATGAGGTTTAAGACTGTGTAACGGTTTTCTTTCTTCTCCTTAACTTTTGCAGGTATTAGGGCTGCTGGTGTGGACCCTGATTGCTGGAACAGAATATTTCCTATATCCGGCCTTTGGCTGGGTGATGTTTGTAGCTGTGTTTTACTGGGTTCTCACCGTCTTCTTTCTGATCATCTATATGACAATGACCTACACCAGGATCCCCCAGGTGCCATGGACCACAGTGGTAAATACACCCATTCTTTGTTTTTTCAGATTTGCTGGGTTATGAAGAGAATAAAATATTGATGCATTTTATGGGTGTAGTTAACAAACTCGTGCTTTTTTGCAAATTTTTCCCTAAATACTGTGTGTCTGCATACCTGCAGTGTTTAACCTTCATGCTACCCACACACTTTTAAAACACTTTTCCTGTGATGTTTCACCATTTTGTTCAGCAGTTGATGTAGTGACTTGATTTTTAATAATGTGCGTGTGACTGATACTTATGCACAGTGGCCTCTCTTTCTCCCTGTAGTGATTACATCTCATGAAGAATGAGTCTGTTACTGCCTCAGAGCTAACACACCTAGCCATATGGCTTAAATAGCAGAAATCCCTACTTGAATCAACACCATGAATTGGAAGTGGGACCCTGGCTCTTAAAACACGAGTCTTCCTCTGCTAAAGTAAAAGCAAAGGTCCTTCAGATGTAGCAACAGTTTGACAAGCCATATATAGCCTACTGTGAAAATGGTGCTTGTGGTTTAACCTGGCAGGCAGCTAAAACAACCACACCGCCATTTGCTCACTGTCCCCACCCCTATCATCACCCGAAGTTGACGTTTAGCAAGACCATAAGCTGCCCTGCCTCCTGGCCAACCCCCCGGTTATATGTGGAGCGTGACGTCATATGGTATGGAATATCCCTCTGGCCAGTTTGGGTCAGCTGTCCTGGCTGTGTCCCCTCCCAGCTCCTAGTGCACCCGCCACATTGGCAGGGCAGTATGAGAAGCTGAAAAGACCTTTTCTGCTTTGCAGCAATTAAGACATCAGTGTGGTATCAACAAACATCAGTGTGTTATCAACATTATTCTCATCCTAAATCCAAACCACAGCACTATACCAGCTGCTAGGAAGAAAATTAACTCTATGCCTGCTGAAACCAGGACAGTGCTGAAAATTAGTGTTATATATATGTAAAATACATGCCATGTAATACTTTGCTTTTAGCTCAAGACTTAATGCAAGTCAGGTAAACAGCTAAGGTAATTACAGAGAAATTTCACAGACACTTGAAATTCAGGTCCAGTTTTTGTGGTTTGAACAAACCTGGCTAGCTGTACCTCTCAACATGTGATTCTCATAACAGGCTAGCGTTCAGGGTAATAGATCCTAAAAAGTCATTGTCATCTCAGCCAACTGGCTATTTGTGACCCATCCAAGAATTATAAATTTTAGCTTTGCATTTGTCTGATTATAGTGAGATACTGTGGTTTTTTGGTTTTTGGTTTTTTTTTAACTAGCTAAAGGTTATTGACTAGAATTCTGTTGTTTCTATGATAAAATATATTTGACTTCTGTATTGCAAACAGCTTGTTATCAGCTATACTGTGTACATGACTAAAATTGAATACTCTTTTGTTTTTGTCTTCCCATTTGCTGCTGTAATAAATAGCCAGCTATAGCAATTGCTAATAAGAACAACCAGGATTATGTTCAGGTAATTGAAAACTCTGTTTTCAAGTTTCATGACCAGCAATTATCATTAAGGCTGTAACACTGCTATAGAAATGTTGGATTATTTCAATTACAGCAGTAATGTGTCTGGGTACATTTAAAGGTGTGGGTTTTTTCCTCATTTCACTAGATGTAAGTAAAGTACATTCGAAGGGAAAGGATCTCTGTATCCATTTGGATACAGCTTTAGTCATTACCCCTCTTTCATTAGTTCAACACTATTATCAGACAACAGCTGCACATAAATGAGTTGCCCCTCATCTGTATGGTAGACAAGCTGGAGTATTTGATTTGTTTCTACTTCATAGTGAGTGTATTTCTTGCTCTAAACATATTGTAGATAAGATCACATAAATGTAGGTCCAAAAGGTAGTCTCCTTTTATATTAAAGGGTAATACGAAGAGAAAACAAATTCACAATAAATAAAAGATGTTTGCATTCCAGCTTGTTTTGCCCTAAGGTATTAGAAGAGCTTTGGGAACAGCCTTTGAATTGGATCCCTGCCACTCCTGCCTGGCCAAGAGGAATGTTGGGTCTTTTTTCAGAGAGATGTTTTAATGTCTTCATTCAAGAGAGCTTGGCACTCACTTTTTTGAGTGAGTTTACGCCCACCTTCCCCCTATTCTCTGAAGTATCCTGAGTTTTAGTTTTTGCTAGTTATTGCTCTGCCTCCTTAGGCGACAGTTAGCTCAAACTGTGCCTATTGTATGCAGTATCCTAAACTACATCTGGACTTCTGTCATAAATTCACTTTTTTGCAGGTTAAGCACATTACTAAATTGCTTAAAGTGCAGTTACTTTTACTGCAAATTAACCCAAAGGATATGCTTCAAAACTGACTCTCCTTAATAGTGCAAGTTCTTTGCTAAAACAATCAATGGAAGCTTTTAAAATCTGGTAAATTTGAATTTAAGAAGCAGATGGCAATTTAGCGTGAACCATTTGGTTTGAGTAATATATTGGCAGTAAGGGCCCAATCAGATTGCATTGCATTCCATCTTCCCCAAAAGTGTTATTTCCCAGAGCAGCACTTCTCAAAAATTATGTGCTTTTTTTCTTTTCTACATGACAAGATATTGCAGGGATTTGTAGCTTTCCAGGGTAATTGAGCCTTTTTGGAATGGGAAATCTAAAAATAACAACAACAAATACTCTAGGCGATCAAATTTGGAGTTTGAAAGTCAGTGCTTTTACAGGAGTTCACCTGAACCTGCCAATTGTTGGCATCTTATCCTAAAATTGTCAGTTTCATATTTTATTACTGTAATGCCCAGATAAAACAAGAGAGGTGAGATCTGTGGCTAGAGATAATACCTCTTATTAGATCAACTGATACAGGTGAGATAAACCCCACTCATTTTTAAGTGTATGAATCAAACCTCAAGTGGCAAGCCTTGGACTCCATCTGAGGCACTGCCTACAATTCTCTGTGGAAAGGTGAGCAAGTGGCTCTTTCCAAATGCCCTGAAGTTGCAAGGACTTAGGAATCACAGGAGGACATGGTTTCAGCCTGCTCTGAAAACTGTAAGAAGGCTTTTTGCATGGGAAGTCTCGTATAGGCAGTGGTGACCTGAAGCCTAAAATGTAAACAGGTGACAGCACAGCATGCTGCTCTCCGGAGGGACCTGGAGTTGAGAAAGCTGGTGTTTGGGGAATGGCTTCACTTCAGAAAGTTTTGGACCCTGTGTGTCACAGGAGCATGCAGCAGTGTCCCAGACGCCACAGAGTCTGAGGTAAACTCCGCCAGAACGAAATGTCCTGGAGATGGATGCGAGGAGCTTCCATACCAACCAACTTCAAGCTGTCAATCCCCACTTTGGTGCAATGAGGGGGAATTGCTGATGTTGATACGGCTGCTGTCACTGCCTTCTGAACTTTTCTTAGGCTGCAGCTCTTTTTTTAGATGCTGCCAGAGTTGGTGACTAGTGAATTCAGTAGTGAATAATTGGCATATATTCCTAGCATCCACTGGGTCCTACCATGGAAATTAGTAAGTTGGAGCTGCACCAGTATAGCAACATTTAGAGACAACTAGGGCAACAGAGTTAAGGGTTATGATATTTGTGTGATACTCTGGAGTGCGAAGATGGGGCCAGAGGCTGAAGGGAGCAGATAATGTACAACAGTAGCACCTGGTCTAAATTGAGTTACTAATTCCTGCAGTTGTAACTAGGCACAAAACATGTCACAGGTATTCCGCTTAAATGTGGCACCAGTGAACTAAAAGTGTATTTTATGGCCCAAGTCAAATGCCTTAGACAAGTAGCAAGGTGGAGTTTTGGGGGATTTTTCTGAAAAATAAGAATGAATTTCCTATAATCATGACTGAGTAATGAGTAAGTAAAGGACAAAGTATTAAAATTACTTAACACACACTCCCCCACACACACACCCACACCTTTTTATCTATCTCTTATCTTCTCAGACTTCCCTTCTCTCTTCCTTTCTTACTCTCTCTCACATGCAACCCCCAAACTGTTCTTTTTTGTTCTCTGTAGTGTTATGTGAGATCAACGTTATCTGCTTTGCTTCTTTCTTAGTAATGTACCCTGAGACATTAACTCTGCTCCTTGGAAGAGAAAATGCAGCATCTGCCATGGATGGGTCTTGATGACCCCTGTAGTCCATTCAGTGTGTTCTCCTCCTTGGCTTTATCTGTTTCTTTGCCTCTCAAAAACAGGCAGAAGGGAAAGGTACTGAAAGGTGGAAGAATATGACTGAAAAAAATACACCCTCTTTATCTCCTTCAAAAGCGGAGAAAAACAAAGTTTTGGAAACTTTGTAAACGTTCTTTATATACCCATGAGTCATTCATTGCTACAGTGTATCTTCATGTAGATTAGAAATATAATCAAATTGTGGTTTGGTTTCATTTTGTTTCTTTTTTTTTTTCCATGCAGTGTCATATTCTTATTGCCTAACACTTAGATTCTGATAACCAAACTATGCCCTTATTATCACTTTTGGAAAATCACAGCACAAAAGCTTTAAGACTCTTCTGGATTTAGTGTGATGGAGAGAACAGTTCGTCTAAAATGTGCTTTAATGTTTATGGATCTTCAAAATAATCAGTTAAATTTTAATCTTACAGATGGAAACTTAGAAGAAGGTAAAAATAGTCGAGTCACATTTCTTGTGTACATTGCATGTGTACATTATATTTCAGATGAGAGCTTTACAATGTTGGAATAGAAAATGGTAACAAATGCATGTGCATATTATTTACTTATGTTGTCTGGTTTTTCAACAGGGTCTGTGTTTTAATGGAAGTGCCTTCATTTTGTACCTCATTGCTGCCATTGTAGATGCATCTTCAGTTACTAAAGAACTGGACAGTCACAATTACAACAGCTGGGCAGCTTCTTCAGTGAGTTCATTTTTTGTTTAAATCTGTTCCATGTCCAATAAAATTATATCAAAAGAAGTCTCTCTGGAAGTGCGGGTTGAATGCATTCTGGATTTTGAAAAGCTGCAGACTGATATAGAAGCTCATGTACAAAACCTATAGGTAGCTGTCATTCAGTTCATAGTTCTTGGAGATGACTAGAAATTCCACCAGATGACAGTCATATCAGAAAAAGTTGTAATATTTTTACGATCATACTGCTTTTCCCTCCCTTGTCCCCATTTATTACTAGCTCTCTGGCAAAGGTTACAGCCTGCACATTAGAGTAGACAAAATAGATTGGGTGAGCACCAAGTCACCTCAATGCACTTGGACAACTTCAAAAGCAGTTTAAACTAACTCAGCTAACTTTGCACACATGTGGATTAGGTGCCTTCAGCTTTTTGTGGGTTCAGCCATCTATACAGCACCTCTGGGAAGATCCTAAATGTATTGCTGTTTCTACAGTGAACTTCCTTTTACAGCCTCAATCTTTCTTCTGAGTTGGGTGGGCAAATGCCTGAAAAACCATGTAACTTCCCAGTGTTTTAAAGTGGATGCAAATCATTAATTAGTCTGACATTACTGTCTTACTACTTAGATTTGGAAATCTAGAGCAGTCAGTCAATGTGGGTGAAAAACAACTTTTTTTTTTCTTTTTTCTTTCTTTTAAAGAGCCTTGTCACTTTCTGAGTAGGTGAATGCATTCTCTAGCTAAGTTAAGGGAGTTGTAAAAGAACTTTTTGCATGTTATGGTAACAGTAGTCAAATTCAATTGTATAGAGTAATTCCAAATTGCAGCTACTCTGCTGACTGTTCATGCTTCTGCAGTTGTCCTCTCTGAACTATTCACAAATCCTGTCTTCTGTGTGAAGCTTATTGTATATGGCACAAACACAGAGACTTGAACACCTGCTCTGTTTTTGTCTTGGGAATTGGATAACTATGTCCCTGTCACTTCAGTGGTGTTCAGGATCTTCTCCTCTTGGCAGTTCGTAACTATCGATCTGTTACTCAGCCACTGCTGTTGACAGGAACTTGCTTGCTGTTAGACAAGCTTCCATGCTGATTCAGGTTTTATGCAAAATGCATGAATGCTCAGTGTCTCATGGGATATTTGGAATCTCTTCTAATACCTCCTAATAGTATTTTTCTAATGCACTGTCTAAATAAACTATTAAATGTAGATTCTTGCTTTCTGAACCCATTAAGGGTTTCAGGGATGGATGTTTGTGAGAATCATCTATCTCCAACAGTTTTTTTTCTGTTAGAAAGGCTTTAGATGGAGCTTTTCTTTCATAAGAAACAAAATTATTGGAAAAAAAGAATGCTATAACTTTTCTATTTTAATAATATTTTACATCATCATCTACAGTTTTTGGTGCCACAGATTAAACTGACATTAGGCAAGACTTGCCAAGAGTCCTCTGTTGGATTTACTGCCTGTATGCACACTTAGTAGTGCCCTGCTCTCAGAGCTGACGTGCCTACCCAGACCAATGACAGTATATAAATAAGAAACATTGGTAGAATCATAAAATATTTTTAGGCTGGAAGGGATCTCTGGAGGTCATCTGGTCCAACTCTCTCCCCCCTTGAAGCAGGGCTAACTTGTATCAGGCTACCATGGCCTTGTCCACCTGAGTTTTGAGTATTTCCAAGGATGGCTATTCCACAATGTCTCTGAGCCTCTGTTGCCATGTTTGACTACTCTCATTGTGATTTCCCTCCCCCCACACCCAATATCTAATTGAAATTTCCCTTCTTGTAACTTGCTTTTGTTCCCTCTCAACCTATCACCACTCACCTCCAAGAAAAGTAGTGTCAATCCTATTTGCAGTGTCAGCTTTATTTGGTTCAGTTACGAGCACAAGACACTCTGGTCTTATCATAAGACCATTTTGAACATTGTCTATTTTGAACAACACACAGCGATTAACAGGAACTTAACCACTGGCACTGAATTGGACTTTATCAGTACAACTGAAATAGTTCACAGCTGTTCTTTGGTTTCTGTGTGCCTGTGCTACAAGGACTGCAGAAGGAACACCACTGATACTGTGTAGTTCTTAATCTTTAAACATAAAATAAATCTGGCCTGCTACAGAAGACTTATTCTGTAATCAATTTCTGACAAAGTACTGATATCTCTGCATGGTTACTGTCACTGTTATTTGCACTGAGGAATACCTTTATTCATTAGTAGAGGACCTCTAGAATTGGTAAACTAATCAGTACTGCTGTTTGAGAACATGCCTGGGCCTGCATCTGAGTCCAAGTTTCCTCTGTAAACAAATTGATTTTGATGCACAGTGTGCTGTAGTGAGGTACAGGTGGGCTGTAGGCAATTCCTGGAACATAGCGGCAGTGCAGGAGTGTTAGCTTGAGCTCACGCTGTCCCATGGACTATCCCTCAGTCTTTCCAACAACTGATGTTAAAAGCAGTGCAAGTATAGGATTGGTGGGAGTCCAGTCTAGAAGATCCATACTGAGGCAGTATAATGTGGAGATAAAAGATGAAATATGCCATGTTTTGTCTGCTTCTAGGCCCATATTTCTATGCATAATATAAGCTTACTTATACAGTGTTGACTGTGATGGCCACTCAAGTACAAGGAGATGAAAGAGTGCTGTTTTAGTCAGCCTGCTACTTCTCCTTTTTCCAAATTCCATAACTATTTTTTTCATAGAAGTGACAGTGCTCTCAAATATATTTTTTCCTAATGTATTTTTTTCCCTTCTCTCTACAGTTCTTTGCCTTCGTGGTTACCTCCTGCTATGCTGGAAATACGTACTTTAGCTTTGTATCTTGGCGATCACGAACTTTGCAGTAAATATTTTGTTAAAATTAATTCTACAGTACAAAATATCTTGAGGATTATATTCTTTTGACAAAAACTTGGAAGAGGGTGAACATTTCAGTTAGAATTGACATTTTGAGGTTAAAATTATTATTTATAATATCTTTAGAGACATCTAACAGACTTTGTACTATAATAAAATTTCATACTGTTTTTAAAATTAACATGGTATTTTTCTAGACAGTGTATAGATGTTATTACTAAAGCTTTAATAAATCTTACTCAGACAATGTGCCAATTTTGTAAATGTAACTTTTTAAGTGTTACAGGTATACTTTTGATACTGAATGCTAGAAATCAAAACTAAGATTGATACTGTCTCATTCTTATGTATAACAAGGGACATTATGCAACAAACCCCCCCCCACAAAACTTTAAAAATAAATAAACAAATGATCTAACTGTGCATGTTTTGTAAACTGGGAGTAGAAGGTTGCTTTTTAAATTTCTTTTTTTTTTTTTCAGAGTAAAATTTATACTACTAAGAATTCTGATGATCCTGTCAGTTTGCATATTATAACAGCTTCTCACAATCATGAGATTGCTTTTGGAACCTGTTACTGTAAGTCTGAAGCTCACTGAAGGAATGTTGTGCCTGAAACACATTATCTTAACAGGTTTCTCAAATCCAGCAGGCTCCAAGGCATAAGTCTAGACAACAGTCCCTTAGTGCTCAGTGTTTAATGTGCTGAGAATATCACAAAACATCTACTAAAGGTAATACATTTTCTTTCTCAGGGGACTGAGTTTTTTTCTCCTCATATTAGACCATTAATCTGTCCTAATTAAAATCTAGGCTTCTAAATCCTATTAAATTATATAAAGATTAAATCCATAGAAGAACTGTCAAGATGCCAGTGCTACAAAGAAAGAATTTCCTCCCTCCTTTCCTGTCTACTGACATCATCTGTGAGTTCGTAGTTTAACAAATTAAGTTTTTAATTTGACACTCATATTTAAATATCTGAGTCAAGCAGAGGTATGACAGAAGATTATGACTTTCAAAACAGATACCTTTGAAAATGACTTTCAAATACAAATTACCTAAGGAGTTTTTTCTAGGAATTATGTGGAGAGTGTAAAGTCATGATTGTTTTGTGATATTATTTAAAGTTTTCCTCATTTAAAGCTACTGGTAAATCTTTTATTCCTGGATTAAGAAGATTTGGACTCTTTTCCAGTCTTCAAAAACTAGCTGGACAATTATATATGGTAGTAGAGAAATCTTACTGCTTAAAAAAACTTCTTTATTTCTCCCTGTAACCAAATGTGTGTGCTTACTTATGTGTCTGCCCTGGAGCAAAGATTTATCAGCAGCCGGCTAATTCTGTTTTAGATCACATTGTTTTGTCCTTGATTATCTGTTGCAGTCACAGGATTTCAGTGTAAGGGAAGCCAAGATATTATTTAAAAACCTATATTTGTCTGCAGATTGCATCTGGCCTGTACAACAAAGGTCAGGCTGTCTGCTGCTTGCTAAAATTATCCAGTTGTGAGAAGGAAGAAGGGCTACCAACTATGCATTTTATCTACACAGATAAAATGTGTCATTAAAATCCTGTATGTTCTTTTTCCATTGCTGGAAAAAAAATCAAAGGCATAAAACTGATCCAAATGTCAACTGATAAAATGTGACTAGAAATATAGCTAGAATTAAAATCTCATCAGTGATTTCTCATCAGTGAAAATGCTTTCGTAGTAATAGAAATTCTTTCTTAAATGGTATTTGATGTACTTATCTTAAGTCCAAAGAATGTGACTATGTTTGCACAAATCTTTCATGATTTTCTGGTAAGTGCAATGGTCTGGTCTAAAGTCATAACCCAGACAACATTTGTGGATAGAGGTAGTAAGAAGGAGTAGAGGTAAGAGGGAGTAATATGTTTCATCTTCTTTACCAAAAGCTATCATGGAAACTGTGTGTTACGTGTCAGTATAAACCCCTTGATGAAGGACAAAACCACATTATTACCAAATAAGGAATGAGTCTGGCAAAATACCTACCACCTCTCTGGGTCTTTAGCACTGATCCTCAAGGGAAGATGTGTGGAATGTCTTCCAAAGGTAAATCTGTGAGTTGAATCCTTAATTCTGAATTTTAAAAAATGAAAGTCTTTGACATCATAAATAACTTGTTTCACACAAATCCAAGTCACCCACATACATAAGGATACTTGATGTCAACTTCTGGCCATCAAATTTCATTTATTAAGGAATTGTCAGTACCTCTTATCATCATCATACATGGTGCACTTAACAAGATGAAGTTAATAGCATGAGAACTGTAATAAAAACTTCAAATTCAGCAGTGTTTTAGACTGACTTTGTGCCAGTGGTTTACAGTAGATGGCTGTATTTCTGAGTGGAAAACAGGACTGTTGCTCTACTTGGATTAATTTAAAGGTATTTCTGTTTCACTGGGCTGAACTCAGATCAGCAGGGTCCCAGTCATATACACACTTTCAAAAGAAGTTAAAAACTAAAGCAGAATCAGCGGATAAGAAAAATATATTTCTTAACAGGAAGTACAGAAGCTATTAGAACCTTCTTCCACGAGGCTTGCAAGAAACCTATAAATGTGCATGCTTCTCAACTTGAACTGTAAGGAGAAGGGGGGGGGGGGGCAAAAAAGCTGTTTCTCAGCAGCTAGTACTTTACTCCTGTGTAGATTGGCAATGTTGTAGCTTATAGATAAAGGTGGGATAGGTAATATCTCTTACTGCAACTACTAGCTGGCTTAATAGAAGTCCAAAACTATGTACTGCTTAGTCTGTTACAGACTACCTACACTGGCAAACACATGTAAATTCCTTATGCTAGCCCTTTATTTGGGTTGGAGATCATCTGAACTTACCTGTCTTCCCTCCTAAGATAATTTTAGTTACTGAAGGAGCTATTAAATACTAAATATGAACAGAATGTGCATCCTAACTACATAACAGCAGAAGATCACATTACTACTGTAATGAGTATAAAAGCAGCATATGCCCAGCTGAGAGGCCTGCTATTACCTCACTTGTCAGAAAGCAAAACAAGTTATTTTTAAACTTGAGGAAATATATAGCTTCCTTTGCTGAGTTTTGCTAGTATCTCTGCGTGATTCAATTCAAACATCAGGGTCAAGAAATTTAGACAGTCGTTACAATTTTTAATGTAAATGTTTTATATTTTACGAGATCATGCATCAGAAGGTTTGGGGGTTTTTACAAGAATAAACGTTGTGTGGGAAGATGCTGTTTGCAGCTGTACCTCCAAGCACAGCTCCCCTCTAAGAACATTGCTGGCCAACTTTGACAGGCCGAAGGTGGTTTTTTTTTTAATAGTTCGAGCAGAGCTACTAACCGCTGTGGTGGCCGGTTCAGTGCGGAGCTCCCCTCCCGGAACCCCACAATCTCCAGCGAGGCGTCCCTCTCCCTCCTTGGAAATGTTCGCTTCGGACTCTACTTTCACGTAACCCAACTGCAAAACGGGGACGGCCAGGCGTCCCGCTG